ATCTCGAAATCAACTAACATTTATTTTTCACTTACCAATTCGCACTCTCCATGAACACGAGCTCCGCCAATAGGAGTAAAGAACCGGCTGTGAATGAAAGAAGTGGTGAAATAAATAATTCAGCAAAAATTTAACGATGTTTACCGGCTTCGAGCGGCACTTTGACAAAGCTATCGTCAGTCCGCTTGAGACCGGTGGAACCGAAGCTTGATTTCGATAGTTACGAAAGAGAACAACGTCCGCGTAGAATGGCAAGCGGATCGTTTACAAGCTGTACGAGGAAATGAATGAATTGCAGAATTAAGGGAATCCTAATCGAACAACAGTGGCAAGAGTTGGTCTCGCCGAAGGTAAGGAACCATAAAAGCGAGACCTCCGGCACGGATGTCGGCATCAGCGGATATCAAGTGTATTAATTTATTCCTACCTTTCCCATCACGGACATCTCGTTAACTTTTCACGGACGGACTCGCCTGCACGGTTCTGTACTCGATCAATCGACAACGACAAAGCTGCGGCTTGCGAATCTCTTCGAAATTATTCGGAATCCGTTCAACGCGCGAAATCACTCCTCCCTCCCCTTTTATTCGATTGCCAGACTTCCCATTCCAATACCTCATTCTGCTCGGGGTTCGCACAACCAATCACCGTTCACTTTCCGATAGGAGGCAGTGCTGTACAATACGAACAATATCTCCTCGACGGGTTCGTGAATTTTTATTAACCCTATCCATTGTATTTTATTAGAATTCAATTGTTTCGTATTTATTCGCAATTCCATTTCTTGTTGAATTCATTATAGCTGAAAACATCGTAGTTTCCGATAGCTTGTACGCGAACGTTAATTTTGTATCTTGGTAATGTACACGTATAGCGAGTTCGTATTGATGGGATACTCTTGTATTTATCGGTTTATTCATAGAACAAGATCACATTTTTTTCCTGATAATTAGAAATTTTAATTTTCCTGTTATGCAACGTGTTGTTTGGTTCTAGATCATTAGCTGAATTAGAATTAATGGAACGTTTCCGTAATGATTGAGGTTTTAAACTGGACACATGCGAAATCATTGGTTTTCGTTTATGATATGTATGATTGTGTTCGATATAAATATCTGCGTAACGTTTTTCGTTTGAAGGTAGATTATAATGATATATAAATATTAAATGTCTTATTCGGAAGAAATTTTTCAAATATTGTCCGTTAAATGCAGTATTTAGCATGTAACTATGAAGAAGCTATAATGAATTAATTCTAATCAGTTATAGTGAAATCTTATTGCTAATTCAATTTATTCTATATAATAACAGCTGATTGTTATTTCACCTCTTTTATATTTTATTAAGAAAACTAGACAGAAAAACGAAATCACGCGCTATGAATTCCCTACATTTGTTAGATATCACAATTATACTGTTGTCAAGAGAAAATTATACTAGATAACTTTCGTTTTTATGTTGTTGACCTTTGTCCAGGATAAAGATACTGTCTTTGTATGCGAGAGCTGGTGAGGGCTTACAATTATAAGTTTGCAATAACATGAATGATAGGAAAAAATAGTGTTTTCAATTGATATCTAATTTTTTCATGCTAAACGAAAGATATGTTCAAGGAAACCTGTAACGCCATCTATAGTGAAACGAATAAACTAAAATGTACTGTATGTAGGAGTGTCCATCATGTAAGCATGATTCTATGGTAAGCATTTATTTACGAAATTACTATTTTCAAGAAAGGTTAACTATTAATGTTATCACCCTTGAAATATATGGTACGTAATAAATAATAGGAATTTCATCTCAATATGGAAAATGTAAGACATATAATAAAGTGGTTATGCAAGGAAAGAGGTCCAAAGAAGATATCAGTCAGAAAAATTGCAGCCGTGTTATATGGTATCATTTCATGGAATATGGTTATATATATCCTGTATTGTAAAGCAAAGGAGGACGGAGTCTTAGGATTTGAAGACCAAAGTATATGACTTGTAATTATACTTTATTATTTCTCATGTTAGAAATGATCATATTTAAAGTAAATTATATCTGTTACAGAATCTAAACTAATCAGTCACCGCCCAGATGCGAATATCCATGTGATACGTGGTAAACAATTCAAAGTAGTAGAACAAGAAGCAATAGTTCCGGAAAGTGTTTAATCTAAAGAAATATCTGAAGAAATATCTGACAGTTATTACTAATTTATTAAATGATAATTTATAAAATAGATTAAAAAAAATATAATTTTACTAGGTTTATCCTATTTATATGTATAATTGTAACAATATCCTGGTCTATTTCTTTCTCTTGCATTGCAGGAACTCTTGTCAATTCATAAAATATAAGAAACCTTAAAATGCTCTTTGTTCTTATTCATGGAAGAGATTGTCGTAGGGCAATTGCTCCAGACGAGGAACTAGAAGTTTCAGGATTTAGTTCTTTTAATCTTTGTTCCATCTCGCATAACAAAGCTGACCTAAATAAACAATATTAAAGAACACAGTGCCTTGTTTACCACTAGTCTTAGCGAAACAAGATTTTCAACAAACCTGTATTCTTCATAACGCATAACGACTTCCTCTAGTTCTTGTTTATACAATCTTGTAAGCATGGCATTGAAACAGTCGAGTTCAGGTAAACGAAAGAGTTCCCATCGCAATTTACGATCTAACGCTACCGAAGCTCTGCTATATACATACAACCAATGAGGTATTTCTTCGTTAAGATAAGGATTAGCTGGGACTAAGACACTATGAGAATGAAAATGCGTATGGCGTGGCGGTGACACAACGCGGACTGCTTGTATTTCATGTGGATAACACGGATGCTCGTATTGCGCTTGTCGTGTGATATGACTGAAATTAAGCAGTTAACTTCGATCACTGTTCACTTTAAAATCAGAATTTTCATTATACTTACTTAACATAATAAACACCATATTCGGGTGACTCTATTCTTTCCCAACCTGTGGGCAAACCTTCTTTCTCAAGAGGATGAGACCAGTGGGTAGTTTTTGTATTATGATCTATGTAATACTTTCTACCTCTAAGGGTAAAATCAACAGACCATCCGGGTGGTAGAGGAAGTTCCTCCTGTTGTTCATTCCTAGAACTGGATCTTTCTGAGTGACATCGACTGTATCTTAAAAAAATAGTGAAACAACTATATATTTTTTTTTATCACAACTCATCTGAATATACTATTATTGTTATACCCTGTATTTTGACGATATACAGAGTGATTATACTCTTCATAACCTGAGTCGATGTCAAAGGATTTATAAGGCATCTGTGGTGTTTGAACTCTGTCTAAGTGGTATTCAGATCCTGCATATTGATTAACATAAGTGTGTGATATAGCAGGCGATAGTCCAGAATGATACATTGGTGTCGCTGTACGAGATGGCAATCCATCCCTTGTACTTGTATTAACAGAGAGACTGGCAAATCTAAGAAAAGTATGTAATAGATTCTTTTTAATCTATGCAGACATTGATGAATATATTGGGGATATTATGCATTTATAATATCGATGATTATATTCATATAATATAACCAACTCATAAACTACCTCTGAGCCAAATCTGGAACTGAACTATTAGGAGTATATTTTCCCTCGTGACTGCCTAAACCTACAGCACTCATTGTTGTTTTAGTGTTTCCAAACTTTTGTACCATACTGGGTTGTTGTGGGATGGACTATACAAAAATGAATGTTTATTCTCTTACAAAAATTTGATGTGCACGATTACTATTTACCATAGATGTGGGAATAGTTGGATGATTATTACGATTCCTTGTTCTTCTATTAGGTTCTGTGGTCCATACATTAATAACTAAAAGTATAAAATAACTCAAAAAACAAGGAGACTGATTCGAGTAAAAGGTACCATCAACATTTGAAAGTAATACATACGTAACTCGAACGAAAATAAAAACAACTTACTGGGCATTTCAGGCGGTGTTTCCTTTTTAACATATTTTCCAACAACTCCTTCCTTGATTGTTCGCAAATCTTTATTTTTCCGCGACAACATAACGACAACGAATAGATCGAACGTCAAATCAATAGATCCTCGATATTTAAAAAGAACTTGTAACCTATATAGGTGCAACGTTACTAATGTCGCATCAATACAAGCGTATTTAACGTGTCCAGTACCGAAAGGCAATTGTTAATTTTTACATTTTTACAACGATTTATTTTTCGGATAGCTCCAATCTGTTGGAGCTCTTTAAACACCGTGTTCAACGAAGGCACATAATCTTTCTTTCCATGTTACGAACATTCGTGAAAGATTGGTACTACCCATGAGTAATCGATCGTACATTTGGTATGTCGACAATTTAAAGTACAGAAAGCCAATGAAAAGTTTTCGGATTCATTTTAATCTGCTAATCGGTTGACTTTTGACCGTACAAATCACTACTGACAAATTACAGACGAATAAAACCTGTCCGATGCCACTCAGTCCGTAATGAACGTGTTTACGATGTTATTTAAACTGACGCGGATATAATATAATTGTTAACATGTTTACACAAGCAAAGGAAAATAAAAGAAATTATGGGAGAATAGCATCTGGGTTATAACTTATATTTGTTTATTAGTCTATTCTTTTTTAAAGCTTAACCTGTTAACTGCGTAATTTTTTCAACTTCAATGTTTACACGAACATTTTAAAAGATGAATAAAAATGATTTAA